CAGTAATAGATAGCGGGAAAAATTGTTTTGCAGGCATATTGTGCATCATAATGGAAAGTTCTATTATTAGCCAATATTTATCGAGTGTTAAAACAGGTTTACGAACAGACAATGATTGATTGATGGATTGTATATTGTTTTACGTCCCTCTCGAGAATTTCTCACTCATATGGAGACGCTGAACAGACAACGAAAGGTAATTAAGGTATTCAATTCTAGCCGCTGTGCGACACGAGTTAGACGAAATTTTTTTTGTATTTTTTTCGTGTCAATATTATTTAATAATTTTGTTATCATGGAAATTCCGAAAACATGGAATTTTGCCGTCTCCGGTCGGAGATGATTTTAGATACTTGCAAAAATGCACAGCGAATTTAATTACAATTTACAATTCATCAATGGCACAATGCTTCTTGTACTCACCATTATCGATGAAAAGAAAGCATCACTCCACATTTCGATACAGGATAAATGAAGACAAATCTCGACAGTCCGATAAAATGTTTTTATAGTGGATTGAATGCATCAATTATACGTATTTTATAAACGAACCATAAAAATTTTGGTAAGTTCTACGGTATAGGTATTGTACGTACTCTGATTAGTTGTGAGTTTGACATTTAATTTGGTTCGCAAATATCGAAAATTAACCCGAATATGCCACCAAAAATATAAAGAGCCTGCGTAAAAGATATGCCGGGAAAACGTCAGATATATTAATTAACGATATTAACTTTTGTTAAACCTCTGTGCTTACTGTTTAACCGTTCATTGAAAGACTGTGTTTTTCAAAAAAAATGGAAATTAGCAACTGTAATCCTTCTGTTTAAAAAAAAGATGATCCTGCGGTTTTATCTAACTTTAGACCTGTCTCATTGTTAAGCTGTAAAGTGATGGAGTGTATATTGTATTTAAACACTTGTACAACTATTTTTTTTATTAACAATATTCTTTATAAATACCAGGCTGGTTTCTTACTTGGTCACTCTACGCTATATCAATTGTTAGAAACATATGATATTATTGTTAGAAATATTGATGAAGGCAAATCCTGCTTTATTAAAAAAAACTTAAATTCAAAATAAATCGAAAAACCCTTTCACTCATGTATACTTCATTTATCCATCCCCAACTCGAGTACGCTTCAGTTGTATGGGGTGGTTGTCTATCCATCAATTCTGAAAAATTAGAGAAATTGCAACTACATGCAGCTCCGATTGTTACTCGGATCGCTTCTAGAGATTCTTTGTATTTTGAATCAGGTATGGAACCGCTCAGCGATAGACATAAGATCCTAAGTATAACTAGAGGTACTGTGAGCAATGAGCTCACTAAATGATACCCCCCGCCTCCCATATGGTTATAACTGATGACAAAGTCCATGTTTTGCCGTGGCCGGGAAACCCAAAATATGTGTCAGATCAAAAAGTAAAATAGGAGGTGCACAATGGCAATATGTAATAAAGATTCTGTAAAAGTTTCATTAAATTTTACTCAGTGGTATAAGAGGAGTTGCGGATAAGAGATGGGTACCCTAAAGCGTAACAGACGGACGGACGGACGGAAATAACGATTATTATATACCCTCCCACTTTTCAAGCGGGGGGTATAAATACCATGTATAAAATTCACAACGATTTAGTACCAGCTAGATTACCTATCTGAGATTATACCTGACACGCGGTGTAAAGCTTCTGCATATATACGACAAGAAACTCACAAAATTATAGTATACCTGTATGTAAATTGCAGACGTACAACAGTACAAAGTTTCGGGGAAAATTGTTTTTGTCGTGTCCGACCGTCTGTCTGTTGTCCACAAAAACTTTAACCTTGCCCATAACTTTAGATTTAGTGGAGCTATGACTTTCATATTTCACATGTATATTTTTTGTGACAAGATCTTTCTTTGGATACCACCAAATTTGACCTTTTGACCTTGGAGATCTTTGTACTTATGTAAAAACTTTAACCTTGGTCATAACTTTTAAAGGACAAGGGCTAAAGCTTTCATAGTTCACATATGTTATTCATGTGAAAAGAACTTTTATTGAATACCAAGAAGTTTTACTCTTTGACCTTGACCTTGGAGTTTGACCTACTTTTAAGAGAAAACCTTGACCAAAATTTGTGAAAGGTTAAAACTGGGGCATTCATACTTCACATCTTTAATCCTTCTGACAAGAACTTTGCTATCAAGAACTTTGACCCTTTGACCTTTACCTTTGAGTTTGATCAATTTTTAAACAAAACATCCAAACTTTTACTTTGGCCCTAATTTTTAAACGGTAGATACTAGGAATTTCAAATTTCGAATATCAATTCTTTGTGGCATGACCTTTCATTTGAAACCAACAATTTTGACCTTTTGACCTTGGAGATTTCCGTACTTACGAAAAAACTTAAACCTTGGCCATAACTTTCGAACAATAAGGGCTAGGGCTTTCATACTTCACTCAATATATAATTCTTGTGAGAAGACCTTTCATTGGATATCAACAACTTTGACCCCTTGACCTTGAACTTGGATTTTGACCGACTTTTTACAAACTTTAACCTTGGCCATAACTTTTGAACAGTAAGATTGATTGATTGATTGTATACTGTTTAACGTCCCTCTCCAGAATATTTCACTGACATGGAGACGTCACCATTGCCGGTGAAGGGCTGCAAATTTAGGCCTATGCTCGGCACTTACGGCCTTTGAGCAGGGAGGGATCTTTATCGTGCCACACCTGCTGTGACACGGGGCCTCGGTTTATACGGTCTCATCCGAAGGACCGCCCCATTTAGTCGCTTTTTACGACAAGCAAGGGGGTACTGAGGACCTATTCTAACCCGGATCCCCACGGGGCTTGATCAGTAAGAGCTAGAGATTTCATATTTCACATATGTAATCCTTGTGAGAAGACCTTTCATTGGATATAAACAACTTTGACCCTTGGATTTTGACCTTTAAGTTCGATCTACTTTTTACAAAACTCTAACCTTGGCCGTAACATTTGAACGGTAAGGGCCAGCACTTTCATACTTCCCATATGTAATCTTTTAGACAAGGCCTTTCTTTGGAAGCCAACATTCTTGACCCTTTGACCTTGACCCCAGAGTTTGTTCTACATTTAAAAACGTTTACCTTGGTTATAACCTTTGAACAGGTGGTGCTCGGGTTTTATATTTCACATTTGTATTTTTTTTTTCTGAAAAGGCCTTACGTTAAGTATCACATATTTGATCTGGATTTAATTTAAAGCTTAACCTTCGATATGTTGCTATACGTTGACATCAGTGTTTCAAAAACACATCTTGTTGAAGTTGTGCTCAATCCCATTGTATACATTTAGTGGAATAAAATATCTTCAAACCATATATTAATATCCTTGCTCAAATTACATTCAACACATAGACATGTATTACTTTAACTACATTTGAATGAAGATTCTTTTGAATTTTCGTTTTCAAAAGGATTGAAATTCAATAGGCCCTATATGTTGTTTTAATATAAATAAATATTTTGTCCGAGTAGGATTTTCCAAAATTTAAATTAAGAAATTGCTTTCAGTAGAAGGATTTTAAAATTATATCAACTTAATCCAGCCATATAAATATTTAAATCAATTCCCCATTTTTTCTGTATATTATACGAGATGAATCATGTAGCTAATGATTAATATCCAAACGGGTTTCCGTATACCGTATACCTTTTACGTTTTAAATAAATATTGTGCAATGCGACTTTGCTTGCAAAATTGAACGAGGATTGCATGGATATTTTGTATAAATGTGAGTATAATTCATTGACATTGAAAGAAAGGGTTGAGACACGTATGTGCAGGCAATATTCATCGGATAACTGATGCGACAACAGGTCAATTTTTTTTATTGGAAGAATGTTTTTAGTTACGATAAATAATATGATTGCGAATTTCGTCAATTTAAATATTCATAGAAAATGACAAGCATCGGCATTAAAAATTTTATATTACACAATATTGATTTACAATTGAACTGTTCACGAAGATTTTACAATTTATATATATACCGACTGGTCAGAGGTATATAAAATTTGTATAACAGCTGTATCAAATTCACTAAAACATGACAAAAATATGGGAAAAATAGAAGGAGATAAAATACGTGTATATCAAAGTTGACAGAGAAAGAATAATATTTCTTTTGGTTCTTTTTTCAATACATATTTTTCTCCAGATTTTGTTTTTGTTTTGAAATGAGTCTTGGCGGTCTATTTAACTGCGTAATTGAGCAAAGTTCGATTATAAATAATAAAGTAAAAATAGAACTGGAAATACCCTTAAAATATATGGTGTGCTGTATTGGTATCAATTAGATGTAATTTCTATTTTTACCATAACATTCGTATTATAAACGTTTGATTAAGCTATCCAAGTCACATGTGACTTGGCTCCTCACATCGTAAACAGCGTCAGTTAAACATTAAGATATTATATATATCCAAATATTAATCTATTAAGTTTAGAGTTGTTGAGATATCTACTTTAAAAAATATTTCATCTCATTATCTGCAAATTTTTTCTTTTGTTTTTTTTTCCTTTATGATATCTGTGATGTAATAGGATTTAAATATGTCTTACGTTAAGAAATTTCATTGTGTCTATTTTTAAAAAGTGCATGTGTATAACACATTGGTGACTGCATTCCACCACAATGGGTGGCAAGTAAGGGTGTTTTGTCATGGCTTCTAATGAAAAATATAACTGAATGAATTAAGTTAATTTAAATCTGATGATTTTGTTCAATTACGATAAATTTGTCTCTATTTGTTTGCTTGACTTGTATTTATTCATAAACTTACAAAAGAAAAGAATTGTCTAAATATGAAATTTTTTACGCCGATTAACAACAATTTTACATTTATAGTGCTAGATTACTAATTTTAAAAATAATAAGCATACGTTTTTCTTACATTTTTACTGCTTTAACAATGTTCAATTAGTTATAAATACTATTGCCTATCATTTCAGATTCAGAGATGACTCACAAGGCCTTCTTTGAATGTTTCACAAGAACAGATCTAGATACCAAACCGAACATTTCCTTGAAAATTTTAGAAGTTTTGTGCAAAAGGAAAAATTGTCGATCTGAGTAAACAGTCAAGATGATTAGTATTTTAATACTTGCAGTTACACTCATTTTTATTTTAGGGTTCTTTTGTAATTATATAAGAAAAACATTCTTTGGAAGCCCAAAACTCAAAGTACTTTGTATACCACTCTTTGTGGCTGGAAACTTTAATTTTCATAGTTTGACTCATGCATACTCGCCTTCTTGGATAACATTGCCGTTATCTGAAGAACCAGATTCCTTGAACTCGTATTTCAGTGCTTCGCTTCAGAATGGGGAAGTTATAAATGAGATGCGCTATGAATGGCTGCGGTTGAGGTCCTATTCCACATTTCCTCTGACTTTAACACAGAGCCCTGTCCGACTCGCTCGTTCAGGGTTTTACTTTACGGGAAGAAACCACGAATGTGTTTGCTTTTCATGTGGAGTTCATAATTCTAATTGGACAAGACAAAATGTCACAGAGTTACACCGACAATTATCTCCAGATTGTCGTCATGTGCGGGGAAGTAACGAGTCTAACATTCCAATAGGATCAAACGAAAGTTGTAGGCCTAATAATCTAAATACCGAATCAACATCAATTGTAACTGTTAATAACCATTCTGAACGTTCACTACAAAGACCTCAAGGAACACAAATACAACAATATAACAGCTGTAATGCAAATGCACAAACAAATGCCATTCACCAAATTCCAACTCCATCAACATCACATCATAATCAACTAAAAGAAACGTTAGAGCCTCTAGGAATAGTTATTGAGAGACCGAGATACCCAAGCTACGCTGTGATGGCAACTCGAGTGAGCAGTTACCAGCAGTGGCCGTCACATTTAACACAGACACCGAGGAACCTTAGTCTCGCAGGATTCTTTTATGTTGGATATGGAGACTACGTCCGTTGTTTCTTCTGCGGAGGTAATCTTTTCTGATGATACGATACTTAATATAGTTTTGTTCTCTTAGGCATTCTTTCTTGTCAACATATGTGTAGCTTTTGCTCTGTATTTGGTTCTATGAGAATCTAGTAGAAAGCAGTTACCTTTCTTCTGTCTTTGTTTTCAGGTGGCTTGAGGAATTGGGAACCTGGTGACGACGCCTGGGTAGAGCATGCGCGATGGTTTCCAAAATGTCCTTTCTTGATTCAAAATAGAGGAATGGATTTTGTAAGACTGGTACAGAACGTACAAGAAGATTTTGAAAATAACCCTATTCAAGGACAAAGTGAAATCTCATTAGAATTTGAGCAACTTCCAGCAGCATGTGAAATTCATCAAATGGGCTATACTTGGAATACAATTAAAGAGGCATACAGGAAAATCGGCAAGAAAAGAACAGGTTTCTACTTTTTTATTTTAACTCTCTCAGATTTTTTTTATATTCTAGAGTTATTTTTCTTAGACTATTATAATGAAGCTTTCTTTTTAAATGAATATAGTCTTGAGAACAATAGATTTACGAAAATGTAATAGTCATTTTTTTATTTTCAAGACAATCATATACATTTTGTATACATTCCAGATATTACAACTGTAGAGTTGATAGAGGAAGTTCTGGCTTGTGAGTCAGCCGAACTATCACTGAATTCATCCCCAGGTCAACCCGCAATATCTCCGACGTCTGCTTCCATAGCAGGGAACAATGGAAATGATTCCAGTAAATACTCTCTCTCTCTCTCTCTCTCTCTCTCTCTCTCTCAATGTGCAGCTTTATATTTCGAAGAGTTAATATTACATAAAGAAGACTGTAAAATATCATAATGTATTTCTTTTTGACAGGCACAACAAGCAACTTGTTGTCAACCTCTGAGCTCTCTGGAGAATTAGAAGCCATAAGTTTGAATGGTATATCTTTTTTTCATTATTTCTAGGGTTGTTTATAATGAAAATAACAACTGAAAGATTTGCAATACTGAGTTTGAGACATGTTCTAATTTTTAAGAAAAGAGCCATAAAGATAATAATCATTATTTTTTTTATCTTATCACTTATTTTATAGAATAGAAAGGTCTTACTTGTATTTTTCTGAATTTCTTCTTATTTAGATGAAACCCAGTCTTTGATGGAGGAAAACAGAAGGCTCAAAGAACAAAGACTTTGCAGGGTATATTGATTTGTTTTTTTTACACATTTAACCATGTATTTTTGTTCCATTTAATTAACTGAGCAAAAGAAAGTTCCTTAAAAATGTATTTATTCGCAAATCTCAATGATACTATTACATTTATTATATTATTATAATAATTATGTTTATTTATAAAATGATTTAATGTTTTAATGGGCTAAGTTTTATATACATGTATAATCAATTACAGATTTGTATGGAAGAAGATGTTTCAATTGCTTTTCTGCCATGTGGTCATTTGTGTTGTTGTTCACACTGCGCGCCTGCGATGCGCAAATGTCCTATCTGTAGAGCATTCATCAAAGGTACAGTTAAAACATATCCTGTTTAAATATACAGGTGTATAATGCAAATCAGTGAAGAAAAGAATCACAGAAGAGCTGTGTTTAATTTAGTTCACTTTATATTCATATGGAGTTTTTGATTATATATAAAGACTGATGAAGTTATAGATGACATAACAAAGTGATTTTGTTGTATTTAATAACAACGTATAAGATATGTAAAATGTTATATTTCATGTCCACATGTATATTCAAATTTAAATAAAGTCAGTAATTTTTGTTACACGAAAATCTTATTTAGCATTTTGAAATGAGCAAGCTACAAAGAACTGTAGTCAAATGAAAGTTAAAATTTTATGTTTTATTATTATTTTTCAGCAATTAAGGGCATATTTTAAGGTTGTAAGTTATCATTTATTATACATGTTCAAGAATTTTACTTTTGTATTTAATGTTTCTCTTGTGTATACATACTGTTTTTAATGAAAATTTTGAAATAACATTTGTGATTTTCTTTCTTGTTATTACCCTTGAGATAAAAGTTTTTAAAAGTGGATTTGAAATATCATTACCTTAAACAGTATCGAACTATCTAATGTACCACATTGACAATGATTGCATTTAAAAAAACTAACCTTTTCGAAAATCCAAATAATGGTTCTCCTACTTTTAATGAATCTTTCTTTCAAATATTGCAAAGCCTACTTTTAATGTTTGTAAATTTCTGGTGTATCCTATCTAATAATTTACCTGCCTAACTGTGCATACTTGAAAAGACTTTTATCTGTTTATTAAAAGTTTTGCCCCTTTGTACAGCTTTGTCTGTTATTCTTAATAATGTACCTTTATTATAATTCAAAATCTCAATACTATTATCCCGTGCTTATCTAGCAGGCAGTGTGATTTCAATAAGTAGTAATTCATTTATCAAAATATTAAAATATGGTCCCCATGTGTTCCGGGACCAGGTAGAGTTGCCCTTGGTAATACATAGGTCTTATATTAAACACTTAATTTTATATTGTACCTTTCGAAAGTCTATTTATTTCCTCGAATTCTGGAAACAAAGTAGCTTCCATGCTTTTTGACAGTTAGATACATGCATGAAGGATATGGAGATAACGAAGAGTATTCAAGATCAAAGTCTATAAAATAGTTCAAAACAGGGGAAAAGCAAACACGGATCCCAAAATCATCAGAGGTGGGATCGGGTGCCATGGAGGAGAGAGCATCCCCTGCCGACTGGTCACCTGCCATGTGCTCCTTGTCATGACTGGAAAATAACGGAAAAATCCGTCGTCAATTCAGTGTGTAAATAATGGTCTAACAATTAATTAGTAGGAAAAACGTCAGTCAACAATTGAATCATTGATAAATTGTCTTTGCTGATAAGGTCATGGTGAAGACAATAGAACTCACGAAATGATGACTTTAAACGAGACTGTTGATATTCATGATTCATCAACTTGTTTGTTAATAATTTACCTCGTTTAAGTAACTTTTCATAAGTAGAGCATGTTGTTGCGTATCGAATCAACTGAGACACATAAACTCACTAAATAAGTGAAGTTGACGATAGAAAATTTAAATTCATCACGTTTATCATAGATCTTTGATGTTAAATTACCATTAACGTCTTTTTCAAGTAAACTGTCAAAAAATGAAACCGATATGTCAGACTCTGTGGAATCGTTTATCGATAGTTCTTAACTTGCTAGAAAAACTTAAACCGTGACGCCTACGCTGAGGCTGACACCGACGCCAATAGTTCATACCTGGAGCAAACTCGCATGGATGATGCATCTAGGGATGTATACTAACAGCCTTGCTTTGGATGCTGGATCTGACCTACATTTTCCACATGAGTGGCCAGATTAAAGTTTTTAGAGCAGGTCAATTCCCAAGTAACAATAGGCCCTATCTGGACTAAACTTGCATCATCTTTAGGCCCTACCCAGACTTAACTTGCATGGATGATGCATCTTAGGATGGACACCACCAGACCTGCATAGATGATGCATCTAGGGATGTATACTAACAGACTTGCTTTGGATGCGAGATCTGACCTACATTTTCCAGATGAGTGACCAGGTTAATTTTTTTGCAACAGGTCCATTCCCAAGTAAATATAAGCGCTACCCGGACCAAACTTGCAAGGATGATGCATCTTGGGATGGACACTACCAGACGTGCTTCGGATGCTGGATCTGACCTACATTTTCCACATGCGAGACCAGGTTAAAGTTTTGAAGCAGGTCAAATCCCAAGTAACTATATGCTCTACCAAGACTAAATTGCATGGATGATGCATCTAGGGATGGACACTACCAGGCTTGCTTCGGATGTTGGATCTGACCTTCATTTTCCAGATGAGTGACCAGGTTAAAGTTTTTGGAGCGGGTCCATTCCCATGTACCTAGAGGTCCTACCTGGACTAAACTTGCATGAATGATGCATTTTGGGATAGACACTATCAGACTAGCTTTGGATGATGCATGTTGCCTACATTTTCCAGATGATTGACGAGGTTAAAGTTCGTTTTTTGCGTATAGTCCATTCCCAAGTAACTATAAGCCCTACCCTGACCAACCTTGCATGGATGATGCATCTAGGGATGTTCACATACAGACTAGCTTCGGATGCTGGATCCGAACTTCATTTTCCAGATTTTCTAGGTTAATCCCAATAAACTATAAGCCCTACCTGGACCAATCTTCCATGGATGATTCATCCGAGGATGGAAAATCGATACTTGCTTTGGATACTGGATCTGACCTACTTTTTCCAATCGAACGACCAGGCTAAAGGTTTTGGAACAGGTTAATTCCCAATGAACTTTTAGACCTATTTAAACTGAAATTGCCTGAATATTGCTGTCAGAATAAATACTAAAAAAAAATATGATGTGAGATTTGCATTACTTAAACTGATAACATTCGTCGAGATGAGCTTTATACGTAATCTTTGATTACCTATGTTTATGTTTACAAATACTTAACTAAGGTATTTCTGATGATCATCGACATTTTGAATTTCAGCTGTGGAAATACAAGACAGATTTAGAGCTCCCAACCTTTGTTATGAAAACAAGGCTCTTGTCATGTTTTTGTATACATAGGTTAAATATGCTGATATGTGTTTCTTCAAAGTAGATTATTTTAATAAAGAAGTTAATTATTAATACAATGAGACATTTTCTAATGATTTGCTGAATCTCGTTTTGTTACAAACATTAAATTTTATAAATGTAAACAAAAACAATGCACGAGCCTTGTTTAAATTATGAAGAATTCTAAGTCCTGTATTACCTTTGTAAATCAAAAAATTATGTTCAATTTTTTGCTGATCATTTAAGAATTGCCTTAGTTAGGAATTGTAAACATTACAATTGGTAAAAGAATTTCAGTTGAAATTTTGTCCAAGGCCCTTTTAATTGTCTGAAAAGGACTTTTGGGATTTTTGAATATCAACATCTGATTCACACCATTATTTGAATATATTTTTTCACAGTAGTCTTGAAGTTTTTCTTTCACTACTGTCAATATCTTAGTGAGGAATGAAGAAAGAGGTAAGGGATAAATAACGAGATGGTGTTGAATAGTTTAGAGAAAACATTCTCTCCGAGGGCCGAAGGCCCGAGGAGGGGATGTTTTCTCTAAACTATTCAACACTATCGAGTTATTTATCTTACTTAAAAAGAAATTCCCTTCATTGGGCCCCAAAGAAACATTACCCATTCAAATATCCAACTTGCTGTAATACAATAGGATGTAGCCCATTTAAATATCCAACCATGACACAAAACAATAGCCTAATCGAACACCCCTTTTATTCATGGAATAGTGGACATGAAACTACATGGTGCTGATTTCGTTTTAGCCCTTTTCATTGTACTGAACAGTCATGAAATATCAGACGAAAAATATCTTATGGAGGTTCAGATAGTGTTTTGAATACTTTTGACCTGAAAGCTGAAGAAAATTACAGAAGTTTGTTAAAAGGTTTGGAATTTGTCATAACATATCATTAGATGATGGTTTGTTCACGAAAAGTTTTGAATTCTTATGGAGTTCCATTCGGACGATACTTGTAGAAGTGCTTAAACAGATAAAAAGATTGGCAGTGTTATGCTGAACCTGCTTTAAATAATTCTATATCAAGATCTGCAATAAAAATGGTGTCAAAAAAAAGATGGGCTGTCAATTCTTTAAGTTGTTTTGGGAAGTACGCCGGAAAAAAATGAACAGAGATGAATCTCGGATATTCGGAAGGAATTTACTGATAATGGACCCTGGAATAATATTCAGCAATAAGAAGTGAGGTAGTTTAAGATTCAAGGTGAAATGTATTTATATGTCAAAAAGTGATGCTTTCGAAATTTAAGACCGAAAAGATTTCTATTCCATAAGTGTGCAAAATTCGGAGGAATTGTTATTTCTCAGTTTCTGTGAGAATTGGAAGTACATTTAAAACACGATAAATGTTATAAATGCGAAGTAATTACGATAGTTCCGTGTGCACTGGAAAATAATTCTAACAGTGTGACAAATTTGGAGTAATTATTATTTTTCATATGCATTGGAAATACATTTTAAAATTGTTTTATCTCTTTTGTTCATTGTTTTATGTTTTCTGCACCTCAATTGGGTATTTAAATATCCAACCGATAGACAGTTGGATATTTTGAATACTGCGAAATCACATATTTTTGTTGGGGTTTATTGTTCGTTGTTTTCGTGATATACAGAGACCCACGAATTCATGTCCATCACGAGATGTATAATGCTACATACGTTACTACTCAGCAATTCTTCATCCACGAAATCAAATCCCCACGAACCAAGAGTTTTTCTTTAAATTACGAAAATTTGACCCCACGAAAATATGTGATTTTATAGTATCCAACTGATGGCCAGTTGGATCTTTAAATATCCAACTAGTGCTGGTTGAATCAGTAAAATATACTTAGACTAATAACAATGGGTGACATCATGGAAGTTTTTTAGGTAGCCAGTCAACATTTACACGTCAACCAAACAGAAGTTACCATTTATTTACCACTCAGTGATAAAGGAGCATATGATTTAAAGGATAAAACAAACAATGATCGATTTTTAAAAAATCCATCAATAAAGCAAGTATCTATAAAAAATGCAAAGACGAGAGGGTATCAATCAAGGACCTTTTAAAATTCCAGAGAGGGGATGGGGTGCCACGGAGGAGTAAACAGTCTCTATTGACATGACACACCCACATTTAGCCCTGTGTTATGGTCATATCAACTTAACTTTCTGTAGTCAAATTCGGATTAAAATCAAATGCTTAAAATTTTGTGTCAGACAGGACAACCAAATTACGACCCAAAGATACTTTAATACATT